CTTAAATTAGGCAGGATGACTTGTACTACTTCTAATATTAGAAATTGAAAAAAATGAAGAATCCTGCGGTCACAAGAGAGTTCTTGAATAAAAACACGATAATTCTCTATTATTATTTACATGATATTGAAATTTTCAAATTATGATGAAAAAAATAGCCTGGAAGTAGGCAATATCCTTATATAATTTTTTTCTGAAAATATTTTGATTTTGGACACATAAGCCCCCATTAGTTTTTATGGCTTTTTAAAACAATTTTCTCCCAAACATGGTAGTCATTCAAAAGAGCAATAAGCGAATCAAAATTACATCAGATCCTAAAACTATGCTACAAAATTGTAAAAAAAATTGCCAACAGTATGCTATTATCAGCTGATATTATTTCTATATTCTAGCAAATGGCCGAAAGGTATGCAATATATTTGATGATGAATATTGAATATGCCCAAACGTATGCAATATATTTGAGGATGTACAATTTTGTTGTTTATATTGAGTAGGGTTTAATGAATGGAAGGATTTTTTTTGAAAACGAGAGGGGCTTCAAGTCTAATTACTAAAAAATATAGTTCTTCTTGATTTTTTAGTTTAGCTTTAAATTCTTTGGAAAATGCCCGATGGTATGCAATAATTTTTGTGCCTGCCATATATAAACTTTTTCTCCTTCGAGAAGATCCAAATAGTCCCAAAAATCAAAGCTTATAAAGGTAATAGGGTTTAATGAGGTTATTTTTTGAAAATACAAAGGGCTTAAAGCCTAGTTATTAAAAAATGTATACCAAGTCTTCTTCTTCTCCTTGATTTTTATAGCTTGGTTTGCAAATACTAAATGCCCGACGGTATGCAATAATTTTTGTCTGAAATATATACTTTCTCTCATTGAATCATATCCAAGTAGCCCCAAAGATCAAAGCTAAGAGAAGAATGAACCATAACTACTCAAGTCAAATAATTCCCCTAAAAGTAGGCTAAAATTCTGTAGAAAGTATGATCGAATAAATAGGAGATTATTTATTGGCAAGAAACCAGTCCAATTAATAAAAATATCCTGCCTAAAATCATACTGACAAATTAATCTAATTCTTCTCAAAATTTTTAATGAATTTTTTCACCTTGACGTGTGTTTGCATAAAACAAGATCAACAAAAACCATCGTTTCCACGACAGAAGGGTCTACGATCCGAAACGACCCGAGTCTTACTCGGCCAACGTCTGTCACTCAACCCGTTGTGTAAAAGCAATAGGGCTGCTACAACAACAACAACAAAACCATTGCACCAAAATTATACTACGCCATTATAAAGAGAGTTTTACCCAAATCATTTTCAGTACATCTGATCCGATTTTATTAAAGTGATTAACATTATTTTTATTTATAAGACTTCTAGACTATTTAGCCGATAATCTATATAATACCTCTCAAATGTGGTACCTAAGTGGTACCTGGTGAGGAATAACTCTTAAAATAGATAAAGAAAAGTAAATGCAAAAATGTCTACTCTGTTAAATTTTTTATTCAAAAAAATATGACTGAACTTTCAAATTTGATTTTAATAAGAAATCTGGGCGTATAACTATTGACATAACTTATACGTCACCAGGTAACTTCGTTAATATAAGTTTTGTTCGAGTACTTTTTTAATAGTAAAAATCGTAGAAGAGCGTCTTGTCAAAATCGATGTCCGAGTACTCATTTTACAGTAAAGTACACGAATTTGAAGTAGTAGATCCGAGATAATTGTCAAAACAAAAAATTCAAATGAGCAACGGTATACATACAGAAAACAAGAAAAAATAAATTGCCGAAATAAGGAGAAATAATAACTCCCAAATGTAGGTGAAATCTCTAACCATAGGTAAAGAAAATGCAAAAGGGTCTGTAGTCTTATTTTTTTTTTAAATAAAAAGTATGCCTGAAATTCCAAATTTGCATTTAAACAGTCGTATAATTTGTGATTATACGCCACCAGTTAAGCTCATTTATTTAATAACTCCCATGTGGTACATACAAAATTATAAATGTTTAACAGTCGTTTGTGAAATGTAAACACATTTCTAATTTTGAGGCATAACTGCATTAACTTCAAGTACAGATTAGGTCTGTACTGTACTGAGGTCTGAAAAACTTTATTTGTGAAGCCCATTAACTAAAAATAATCCATTAAAAATCATCAGTAGATGTTCTTCTTTGAAAAGAACAACGTACAACATATGATTATGCCTAAAACTTGGCACTAATTTTTGAATACTAATATTTAAATTTTTCTCACATTCTCAACATTGAAAATACTGACTGTTTAATTTTTATTGCGAAAATCATGCTCGAAAATATTTATTTTTTGAATAAAGGAAGTTGAGGGAAAACCAAAATAACTCGCATATTTTTTTGTAAGCTGCAAAGGCTATAAGTTTTAGTAAGTAATAATTAAATAAAAAAAAAAAACCAAAACCATATTTTCGTAAAAATTAAAACAAAATGAAACACTTAAATGTTTTTATGTAATGTAAACTAATAAAAAAAAATACAAAAATTTTGGAAAATACAATTAGTGTCACAAATGGAAAGCACTAAAATTTGTTATTGGGTGAAGACAGCGCCACAAACTAAAGACAAAGTACTACTTATGATTATATAGAACCATAAGATTTGGAAATATTTAAGAAGATACAAAAAACAAATTGGAAAAACAAAGACAATTTTTTGGTAGTTTGTAGCCACACAAAAAATATATAGAAACATTAGGGAATTATACACTTGGAAACTTTTGCACCATGAATGACCATAAGAGTAGCCCTTCAGAATTAAAAAATACAAATAGTAAGGGTCTGGCTCAACTGAATAACTTGGATTTTTGGCTCCCTTTTTATAGCTGGGGGAGCATATAACAATTTTTTTGGTATAGAAAAAAAAACAAAATAGAAAATATATAAATGGATTTAAATTTATTTATAACAAAAAAAAAATACCACAAATTTAGAAAAAATAAAAATAATAACAAAAGAAACCACAAATAAGTTTTATTAATTAAATTCAAATTATGTATATCTCAGTGTTAGTTTTCATGTTAGACACATTTAATTAGTGTTTGTGTTTATAGGCAAGCAGAAACAAAAAATCTAAATATAAAAAAAAATTAAAACTAAACCAAAAAAATATATATAAAAAATCAAAACATTTAAAATACATTTATTTCAAACATTTCAGAACACTAAAGCCAAACATATATAATACCAACAAACTTTTTAAATAATAATTGACCAAAAAGTTAAAAAATAAAAAGTTCTTATAAAATTTTCAAAATAAATTAGGAGGCAGGAATGTAGAAATATCTCAAACTTTTGAAAATTACTTTATTATGAAAAAAAATAATCTTTAATTATGTCAGGTGATGTTGTATTTAATGAAGAACAATTTTTCATTTATTACATTATTTTATACAATTTTTAAATTTATTTTCATTTAATTTTATTTTTTGATTTTTATTAAAAAATTAAATTTTAAAAAATAAAGTGGAATTGTTTATACCATTTTATTTTTTTATATTTAGTGACAAAAAATAATTCATCATATAATTATAAAATATTTGTTAAATCAACATCCAGAGCCACTGGCATAATTCAATGTTATTTAATTTTATTTTGTCTTGTATTTTTTATTTTAAAAAATATTATAATTAGTTTTGAACAAAAAGTTCCAGATAATTTCTACATTTCATGAACATTTTTTAACAAACTTTTTAAAAATAATTAAAATAATTTTTGTCATATTTTTTTGTACACAATGACTTGTGAAAAAATAATAATTTGTATGGAAACTCAATATTGTGAGCTTGATGTACGCTAGAAGAAAAACAAACAGTCAGTAATTTCAATTAAGGACAAAAAAAATCTTCAAATATTTTCAAAAAAGTCAGCTTCGACGGCATTTAGAAATTTTCTAGCATTCTTTACCAAGATGAAGCAGTTCTAAATATATATATATTTCTATATATTTCTAAATATATATATATATATATTTAAATTTAAAAAAAAATTGAACGCTAATATAGAAAACTCGGTAAATGTTCCTTTTTATGAAATTAATTATCTAAATTAAATAGATAATGGGCTTTTCGAAAAAATTGCGACCTTTTCAGATGGTCAGTAAATTTACACAAAAATTACGGAAAATATAGCTTACAAATCCTTTAAAGCTTATAGAGCCCTCAATAAGAGTTTTCTAACTCAACATAATCTTTGTAAATCGTTTTATATAGACAATGAGACATTTGGGAAAATTATACACATGACCAGGCGACCAGTAAATTTAAAAGGAGGAGGAAATTTTTCCACTTGTTCAGTTGACATTGAATGTAGTCACAAATTTCAAAATTACCACCACAAATTCATCATAAAGTTCGAAGGTCATATTTAGGTTATTAGGTTAGTTTTCAAAATTCCGCAACCTTTTGTACACCCGTTTTTAAATATTTCACACATTGAGAACTTGAAAATTTTCGAACTAAAAAAGAAAAGAATAGAGAAGAGTTATTCGTATCTATGATTAAAAATAGCTACCCCTCTTTGTCACAAGGAACATGTATATATTTCAAATGGTAAGTATTAGATCATCCTTCCGTATCCGAACATCTTGAGTCACTTGAGCACACGTTATTATTTCCAGAAATTGTCCAAATTACTTCAGTCTATGTAATACCATTATTGAAAGAGATCGCATATTAATTGGATAACATTTAGTTATCATATAAAAACTAATATAAAAACATATTCAGGGCGAATAATCATTGAGACATTACGTATACGACACCTAAATTTTAACTCACATGCCTAAGAACACAAATTTGTCGAGAAATTTAGAAATAAAATATTTTAATTGTAGTCAATTCAAATGAAACCCCAAATCAAAAAAAAAATCACTGAAAAGTATAGATAGGTATAGAGAATTCTTTTTCAAAAAAATCGAGTACGTATAATCATTGGCAATACGCATACGCAACTTTTCACACTACATTCGAGGGCGTATAATCATTGATCATATGCATACGCAACCATTCCCTGTATTAATTTATTTTTCACTAATTTTTCCACAATCAAACTATACCAGTTTATATATTAAATGTTCATGGCATATTGGTGGGAGAATATTCATATCACTTTCATTGCATCTTCCTTTTTCACACAAAAAAATGAAAAACATTATGCAGTTTAAGAAATTATTTTCAATACTGACAATACGTATACGCCACCTTAATCTGAAATTTAGACATCATAGAAAAAATCTCTAAACAAGAAAAACAAATAAAAATTAGTAAAGGATTCCTTTCACATTACACGAAGGACATATGAATATTGCCAATGCGTACACGTGGTGTCTGACTTTTTCCAGATAACCTACAATATTTTTCTTTCATGGTATACAACTGCATTTTGTGCCACCTTAGGAAGATAAGAAGGTGGCTTTGAACGATAAGGCACCGAGCATCAATCGAGAGATGCCATATGATCCGGGGTTAAAATCCCAGCAGGGCTCAAGCAGAATTTTAGAGTTGTATGCCTTTTTAATGCCAAGGAGGCTCTTAAGAGGATAATTCTGATTATATATTTCAAGGATTCATTTCTTACAAAATTTCACAGACATAATACATTCAGTTTTCAAATCGTGTAGAACGTATAAGTGATAATATAACGTATACACCACACGCATTTTTAATTTAAAGCGAACTACTAAATTGAAAATTCATTTGACACAAAAAAAAAAAAAAATTGGGAAAAATACGATAATTTATATAACAGATGCAAGTGCGTCCATCGAATAAAACGCGTAAGATAGCCGGGAAATATATCTTTAAAGTCATAAAAAATAATACTATGGGAAAGTTTTTTCGTGTTTTAGTACTCTTCAAAGATTTCAATTGTTTAAAGCAGATAAAGGGGAAGATCACTTAAATTAAAAAAAAAAAAAAAAATCTGACAATATTCGATTTGGCCACAAAGTCATACTGTTTTGACCATAACTTCTAACCATACACAAGTGAGTCCAGCAGAATCTAAAAAAGATACCTAAAATGTAATAAACATTGTGATTTAAAATATAAACTTCTATATGAAGTAAAATATCGTTTCTTCTAGGGGAGTATGAGTATCTACAACACGTATACGCTACCTGATCTTGAATATAATGCAAAATTTTTAAATGCATTAAGATATCCCCTGGTATTTTAATTTAATTTCTTAAAATGCAAATAACACCCACTTCAAATGAAAAGTGCGAGTCAGCAAATACGAAACCTCTTAATTTCATGGGTCTGTTTTTATTCTCAAGAAGAAAAAAATGTACAACTTAAATGACTTTCATAAATTTGTCCTTGTTTTCCAAATATTGCTATATATGTGAATGAAATTTAGAAAAGACAAGATCGAATAAATTATATCTGTAAATTAAAAAATATGTAAAAGGAGCTCTTATAAAATTCGATATAAATATGAATACGAATATTTTTGAGCGAATGATTTATGCCGGAACGTATACGCAATGCTGGACTTTAATTTTTAAGAGCCATTTAAGCTATTGCATTGGATTATATATTATCGAAATTTTATTTGTCACATTTAATTTAAAAATATGTTACAAATTTTGATCAGAATTTGGAAAAATTAATTTCCAACAAATTCCCAATGTGAAACGTAGCATATTTTACGGCTTTAAATTCTTTGTATAATATTTAAAATATTTTTTTTTGTTTTAGTCATAGAGCGTATGATTGATGTCGCTATTTGTTTTTGGGCTTTAAATAAATTTCATTAAAATAAAAATACACACATTTTAATTCCATCAAAATAAATAATTCACTGAGGCGTATAATTATTCGTACACTACGTATACGCAACCAGGTATTCCGCATAAATAAATCCAAAACCGTATAGAATTTCAATACCAATTAATTCCATTTTATATTTATTTAAATTAAATTATTTAACAAAATGTTATTTTATGTTAGCAGTTTGGTTACACACACACACACTCGCGCACACAATTTGCCTCCATAAAGCCAAATGGAGGCACCAGTCAGATTGACGCCAACAACAATGCAAAATGCCAACAATAATAAAAATAAGAGAAAAAAAGAACAGAAGGAAGCCTTTGCCGCAACGCCCCCGCACCAAAAAAAAAAAAAATGCAATGCAATTGCAGAGAAAAAAAAACAAACAGAGCCAGGGTAAATATGGGTCACAAAAGGAAAAACGAGGCCAGTGATTTTTTTTCAAATTTTTTTTCTGTTTTTATTGTACATGGTTACACAAACATACATATAGAAGTATTATATATACTCTCACACTCAATGTTATGCATGTTAAATTTCTTTTCTATAAATATAATAAAACTATGTGTGAATTTGTTTTATTAAAATACTATTTTTTTGTTGTTAACAATATTTGTGTTTGAAGTGAAACTTCATAATCAATATAATTCATAAATATTTATTTTCACACTTCAAGTTGCAAGAAGCTAACAAAAAAAATCGAAAAAAAATACTAATATAAATATTGGCATAGTTACACATTTTCACACATACACTTGAACAACTCACAAATAAAACAAAACACAACAACAACAACACTTAAAAGCAATTGAAATGTCAATTTTTGTGAAAAGCCAATTGGAGAAACAAGAAAAAATACCAAAACAAAATTCAAAATTTGTTTTTAACTAACTTTGCAGCTAAACAAAAAATAACAACAAAAAACTACTAAACACACACACAGAAAAAATCTGAAAAAAAATCAGGAATCCAATAAATAAATCCCAAATTGGCTGTACTCTCAATTGAATGTTGAAGCCTTTCACATACACTCCTATCCCCCAAAAAATGAGGATACAAATAAATATAAAAAAATAATAATGTACAATCCCAAAACTCCTTCCCAAGAAATTAATAAAAAATAAATAACACACTTAAATTATTTGCACTTTAGCACTGCGCACTGTATTATTGTGATATGACACCATAAATGCACTTAATAATTTTTAAGCAAAAAAAAAAAAACAAAAAAAAATTTACTAATTGTTGTTCAGTTTTGGAACACTTTTTTTGTGAAGCACTGATTTTTTGTGAAAAAAAAATACAAATATAGAAATTATACACCACAATAAAAAATTATGAAATTTATAATGCACTCCAAATGAAATGCACAGTTTTTTATGTTTACAATTATTTTTTATTAGAAATATTGCACCAATTTAATGTAAAATTTTAATATTAGATATAAATACAAAGAAAAAACTAAACTCCAAACAAAATGTTAAACAGCAAACTGTATACTTGAATTGAAAAAAAAAATATATAAAAATAAAAAAACTAATTGTTACATTCTCCAAAATAAAATCCAAAGCAAACAAAAAAAATAAAAAATAATTTTATTTATTTATTTTTACTGAAGGTTTTGAATTTTTCCCCCAGATTTTGCCAGATTTTTAAATTATTTTCACTCGACAAAGCAAATTATTACAAATGTCACATGTACCTTAAATGTTAGCAGGACATGAAGTAAGTTCATTTAAATCTTAATAAATAAAAGAAAAAATTGAGACTTCGAATACAAATAGTGTCTTGCAATTTCATGTTTCCACACAAAAGCCTTCCAAACTCATTTTCTATTTTTTCCAAAAACATAATCCGTCCTCTATGAGAAAGCAGACAACCTACAGCTATATAAGAAGGAATATATGAACCTAGCCGATTCCCAGACATACTATTGATTTTATTTTTTCAAAATAATAAACAGGAAATGTTTTTATTACTTTTAAAGCTAACAAATTCGGGCACAGAAGATTTCATATTGGAACAATTTAGAAAAAAAATTCATCAGTAATGCAAATACAACAATTCTATAGGGTTGAGGTTTTATAGCAAAATATCAATGCGTGCTTATGGAGATTTATTTTTTTAAATATTACTCGACATTTTTGACACAAATTATGATACGTAAAAACTAATTAATTTTCTGATACTCTATGCAGGCAAAGGACTTCTGACAGCACTCATACGTTTGGGTAACGTATACATGCTGTCATAACTCATACGCCCCATATACATTTGTATACTTGAAAAATTCCGTCATATATTATTGAGGTTTGAAGACACAATATTTTCCATACGGATCTATTATTTTTCTATGGGTATTTACAACTAAAGTTTTCAGGCAGAATTTCATTCTTCTTAAAAGATTCATAGGACATCAACAATTTATATATTATATTTTATATTAAAAAATTGTTAACCCCCAGTATTATTTTTTTATTTAAAAATATAAAAATGGCTGAGAGAATAATATTTCTCCATTACAGAAATAACTTTGCTATAAAAAAAATATTTTTCGAAGCAATCCGCAAGGGTAAAAATATAAATCAAGAAAAACTATATTCTATATTCTCAGCAAGGTATATTCATAAGGTTAACAAGGAGGCGAATTCGAAGTCTTCATTGACTGTCAAATTTATAGTTTGAAGAATAAATAAACAGAAAATATTTGTATTTGAACCAAAATATACGTGCAAATTACTACCATTACGTTTTATTGAAACATATTTTGAGTTTTTATCCTGTTCTGGTGGGTATTTCGCGATTAAAAAGTTGACAGCAAGAGAAGACCTGCCGGTTAACATTATTAATAAACCTTGATTCTCAGGTTCAAAAGATTTTTAAATTTATGTTTTTCGAAGATAGCAGTTGTCCAGGATAAGTTGTTCAACAATTAAATAAAGATTTTTTTCATTTTTCCTTTATGAAATGTCCTGTGTCTGAATTTGGAATTTTTTCGAAGTCTGATAGACATCCTTCAATAATAATCAATAGTCGTTCTGATATTACAATTAGTTTTTATTTCATATCAATTTGTTGTATTTATATGCATTACAATTTCGTATTCAAATGACCAAATTGGAGGTTATTATTTAAATGCGTATGAGTTATGACAACACGTATACGCATTGTTGGATTATTTTTAGTTTTAACGAATCAACGAAAGTTTTACATTTGGATTTCGAAATCATATCG